AGATTTCTGTTTGTAGATTATAGTGATTTCTAGGCTAAGGGGATGAAATGTGTGTGCCATGACATCAGCAGCATTTAGAACTTGGGCTCTTTCCAGAGTGAGAAGGTACCAGCAGCACTGAAGCTCTTGACTTTCTGCACACCCTCCAGTGGGATGATTTAGGATGAATTCAGACAAACACCAGGATTTCTCGCACCAAAATCCCTTGGGAGTGATGTCAGCATCCTCAGCTGTACCCAGCCAGCTCCACAACCACCCTGGAAGGGATTCCTGACCTTGGAGGGCTCCTGGGAGAGTTAAAACAGCCCCAGGATGGGAAATCCCAGCCAGGTTTGGGTTGGAAGGGGCTGTGAAAACAACCCAGTGCCAGCCCTGCCATGGCAGGGACACCTTCCCCTGTCCCAGGGTGCCCAAACTCTGCCCAGCCTGGCCTTGGGCACTGCCAGGGGTCCAGGGGCAGCCACAGCTGCTCTGGGCACCTGTGCCAGGGCATCCCCACCCCACAGGGAACAGTTCCTGATATCTAATCCAAGCCTAGATTAGATGAAATATTCCTAACACGGAGGAATATTAGGATATTCTAAATGGAATGTTCTCTATCCAATCTCATTAACCACAGAAAATGCCCCAGCCAGGTGCAGCCAAATCTCCTCCTGTCATTCATTGTGGGCACAGGCCAACATTATCATTTCTATTGTAAAACCTCACAAAAGATGATGAGAAAAGCACCATGTTAAAAAGGATGCAATGACTTTTTGTTGGTCCTTGTGATTAATATTAGACATGGCAAGTAGTTAATTATATTTCTAAAAAGGGCTTTGAGATTGCAATCAATAGAATCGATTATAAAAGACAAATTATGAAGGAGTAAAACATCACAGCCTATTTAATATGATGCTAAGAAAGCCCATCCAGCATCATACATGGATTTCAACTTAAAGTGACAACAGTGCCAGCTTTCATGTGAGAGGGTTTAGAGAGCAAGTTAAAACATGGATATCTGCTATTCAAAGGGAGAGGATTCCATCTCTCCACTCAACAGAGATGGAGATAGCAGAAATAACAATTTTCAAGAGCTTATTTTATTTTAAAAAGGATTTCTGCTCATGGAAAATTACTACAAGAAGGTCTTCTTTAGCTTAACATTGCAAGCTGAGGGGCAAAACCTCCATTCTCATTTACTGTCCACATTTTACTTAACTCCAGTGTTAGAAGGGTGAGCCTGCATTGCCTTTCCTGATTTTTTATAGTAAGGCTGTGGGAAATCCATAAGCAAAAAATATTTTCTCTCTTTAAGAGAAAGAAAGGATCAGTTAAAAGAACTGCCTCCAAATACTGCATTTTATTGGAATCTAAGTATTCTGTGAATGTCGCACAGTGTTCTGTGAAGAAATGTAAAGAGAGAGTGCTTCAAAGCTTTTCTCTTTATGTTCCAAGTCAAAGCAAGGCTTTTACAGCCCTTAAAATAATAATGTTGCCATCAGGGACTTAGTTAAGCACTTAAGATGACATAACAATAATTTTTACTTTTATTTTACTTACCATCTTCTGCAAACTCAGCACTGGAGAAGTAGGGCTACTTTCTAAGCTTGTTGAAATGAAATTTGAATTCCTAAATGAACATTTGAAAGCAGAAATGTTGTACCTCTAAAATCACTGAAAATAAACCTGAACCTAGAAATTATACCAGCTGTATCTATTCCTATCAAAGCTTGGGGCAAAAAAAAAAAAAAAATGAAAAGAAAAGCAAGAAGAATGCACAGTTGAATTTTTCAAAGCATTTCATTTGCACAGGAAAAAAGGAGTGTAGCAGCAAGACAAATTTGTGCTTCCTGGTGACACAATTGTAAGAGTCTGGCTGTGTCCTCTCTTGGCAAGCACAACTTTGCTGATTTGTTTTTCAGAGGTCTTGTCAAGAACCAGCTCTTTAAATGTGTCAGGTTTAATAAAAGTATCAGTAGGAAGAGGAAGAGACCAGAGCATGATATGTAACTTTGTTACTCAAGTTAGTAACTTCTTCCTTTAAAATGAGTCAGAAATCAGGTCTGATTCAGCAGGAGGAAGAGATGGGATCTCATATTTAATGTTTTAAGGCCTTGGTATGTTTGTTTCTACACAGAAACTCTGTAAATTATCTTTTTCTCTTTAATAATATGGTCTAGCTATAGTCTGAGAGTTCATTTTGTGGTTACCAGCCAATGTTCCAAGGCAATCCCCTTCTGACAATTTTCTCCAGCTAATGCAGCTCCTATTGATGGCTTTCATTCTGGGGAGGGTCACTAAGAAAACACACAGTGCTCATTTGGTGGCATTTAGACAGATAGAAAGATTACATTAATCTAATTTTCCAAGCATATGTTGCCTCTACAAAAAATAAAAAAAAAACAAACAGGAACAGGAAACCTCAAAGGGGAATATGAGTCTTTTGGAAAATAGCAGGGAAATCTCATAAATAAGAACTCTTTGATACTGATCTACACAGTGGCAGAAAAACATTATATTTTGTCATGATTAGCAATATGTTCTCATGTCTGAAATGGTCTGACTTTCCTCAAAAAGATCTAAAGCTCTGTGCTTAAAATAGCTGCAAAACAGCTGTTGGATTTTTCACAGCAATGGGTTTTATCTTCATGCTACATAGAATGCAAACCAGTCATTTGACTAATATATAGTTGCAGAAAACATGCCTTCAGAACAGTCTCTCCTGCTAAGGACAAACAGAGGAAATATTCCCTTTTACATGAGTTTTCATGTGCTTTTTTATTTATTTATTTATTTTTCTTAATTTATTTTAACACTTTCATAGCTGTTTGGCACAAGAGCAGCTTTATTCATACACATCAAGTTTCCCACCTCTGGAACCAGCTGAGCCTTTGGCTGTAAAGGGTGAAAAGATTCTGCTTTTGCCTGTTTTATAGTCTTGTCACATTTTAAGTTTCTCTGGTGACTGGAGAGTGAACTAAAAATACAGTGCCTTACCTGAGGAATACTTTTGCATATTTCCACTTACCTCAGATTCCACCATCATTCAAGAGAAAGCTATTTCAGTTTAGCTCTGTCTTAGGAGTTGTTAGATTTGGCTTATAATATTTTTAAATGTTTTATTTAAGCATTTAGGAAACTGTTTTCTCACAACATAATCCCCTGCTCCCATGATTTTGAGGTAGACCTTGGTTTTAGCCTAGAGGAGGAAGCCTGCATTGATTTCACCACAAACAAAGCCAGGGGATGCTTCATTCAGTGGCCATCCAAAGATTTATACTGAAGGCTGAAAAAACCCAAAGAGCCACAACCTGGCAAGAGCTGCCTCTATAAAAAGATTCCTCTCAAAAGGTCTTTTTTTTTTTTTTCCTTATTAATTTCAGCCTTGAAATGGGGAATCTGGGGTATGGGGACAGGCAGAGAGAGAAAGGATTGGGGAGGAATTCCAGTTCAAAATAATTTCATAGCTATACTTCAAATAATACTTTCAAATCATCTGCTCCACGTCTAAAACTTTATTCCCACTATCGTGACTTTGGATTTCACAAACCTGTTTAAAAATAACCCAACAAAACACGTCCTAAATAGGTAGAAGGGACTTGCCTGTCTGCTCTCTACCACATCCTATGAATGTGCTGCTGTATTCCAGAGACTTTCCAAAGGTGGCAGGGCGAGCATGTGTGAATGGGAGAGCTTTGTCCTCTGCAGCTATCATTGTGTTGTCCCTACCGTCCACAAACGCAGAGGGCAGATGAGAACTGGATAGAAACAGACCATGCAGTTGTAAAACCCGGTTCTTTTCTCTCTTTATTTATTTATTTCTGCGACTGAGTAACACCTCTCATTACAATTACCGGCTCAATGGCAGAAAATCTCCCCGGTGTGCTGTGCAGATTTTCACAGCTTCATTTGTCTCCTCCTGTGGCATCAGTTTAAAAAGGTTCCTAAAGAATTGCCACTAACAACCGCTTCTATTTCGAGCCTTCAAAGCCGGAGCTGAGCACAATACAAGGCACTGGTAACTGATCTTTAGGTTTCAGTCCACAGACTTTCCACACTGGGAATAGATCCCATCTGTTTCCTCTTTATGCACCAGCCTTTAGAAAGCACAGATCTGGAAACTGCCTCCGTACAGAACCGAGTATAGCCGGCTTTCCCCAGCTGACGGCAGAAAAATCCCCATGATTATGGATAGCTTTCTCCCAAGGCTTTCTACTCCTCTTTTCTCCCCGCTCTGTGAATACACGGTGTGGCTTTCTCCATGTGCTGTGGTTTTTTTGGAAGGGCGAAGGGACTGGACCGCCTCTCTTCCCTTGCCCCTTCTTCTTTCCCCTTCTTGGCAGAGGTTTCCCCATTTACCAGCCCTCACAGTGGGAACATTTCAATTTCAAGCCCCAGCACAATCAACCAGAGGCAAACCCCCCTCCTTGCTTTGGCACCAGAGCGTGAGACATTTCCCCCAGCGCTCTCCCTCCCCAGCAAGCTGCTCTCCAGATGGATGCTCGTGGCTCTCCCTTCTCTCTTCCCTTCTCCTGTCCCGGCCAGAGGCGAGCGGAGGGCACAGAGCAGAGGATTCCTTGGGGCAGGGGCAGCCGCACAGAGCAGGACGCTGTGACCCCGGGGTGCTCAGCACCACCGAAGTCCTGAACCCTTTTGCCTCGGGGATCCCCCTTGTCCTCGCTTCCTTCCCTCAGCCCCACATTGGCGGGGGAGGTCCCCTCAGCCCCACATTGGGGGAGTCCCTCAGCCCCTCACGGGGGCCCCTCAGCTTCACATTGGGGGAGTCCCTCAGCCCTACATTGGGATGTCCCTCAGCCCCACATGGGGAGTCCCCTCAGTTTCACACTAGGGAGCACCTCAGCCTCACATTGGGAGTCCCTCAGCCTCGCATCGGGGGTCTCCTCAGCCACACACTGGGGGAGTCCCCTCAGCCCCTCACAGGAAGGTCCCCTCAGCCCCTCATAGGAAGGTCCCCTCAGTCCCGCGCCCTGCCCCGCTCCCCTCAGCCCGGCACTCACTACTTGTAGAGCTGTTGCAGGCAGAGGTCCAGGCACTCGCCCTCCACCTCCTCCTCCGTGATGTACTCCGAGAGCGGCCGGGGCAGCGAGGGCAGCGGCGGGGGCGGCGGCGGCGGGGCGGGCGGCTGAGGGTCGCCGGCATCGCCCTCGCCGCCTTCTCCCTCCTCTGCCTCGGCGGCCGCTCCCGCTTCTCCCTCTGCCCCGGGCTCCTCGTCAGCGTCTCCCGCGGCTTCGGCAGCGGGAGGGGGGGCCGCCGGCTCCGGCTCCGGTTCGGGCTCCGGTTCGGGCTCCGGCTCTGCCCCGAAGGGCCCGCGGAACTCGCCCAGGAACAGCTCGAGGAAGCGGCGGTAGGTCTTCTCCTCCGCGCTGCCGCCGCCGCCGTTGCCCGAGCCGCCCGCGGCCATCGCTTCGCATTCCCGGCCGCCCGCCGGCGGATCAGCACTGCGCCCGCAGAGAGCTCCCTGCCCGCCGCCGCCGCCGCCTCCTCCTCCTCCTCCTCCTCCTCCTCCCTCTCCCCCCTCTCCCTCCCTCCCTCCCGCCGCCTGCGCGCGCGCTCCCGAGCCGGGCCCGCGGGGCCGCGCACGCCGCGGGGGGTGCGGGGTGTGGGTGAGCGTGCCTGGGCGTCGGGAGCGCGCGCGGCTCTGAGGGGGGCCCGGCGGGGTCCGGCGGCCGCCCGAGGGGGCGGCTCGGGCCGCGGCGCTGGCGGGGGAGCGGGAGCGGCGGCAGCCGCGCCGCTGTGATGAGTCATGCGAAGGCAGCCAGACGCGTAGGTTCCTCACAGGAACCCGGAGGAAACCTGAGCGCACATCGCCTGTTACCTAATCCCTGCCTCCTTCGGGGCTTCCCTGGAGCTTCCGCCGCCGCCGCCGGCGCCTCCGCGGCTGCCGGAGGGTGCGCGGGGCCGGGGCGGCAGCGGGGCCCCGCCGTGAGGGGACGGCGCTGTCCCGCCGAGCCGCGGCCCGGGCCGGGGCCAGGAGCAGCCGCGGAGAGCGGGTTTGACAGCGGAGAGTGTTGGCGTGAGGGGAAGTGGCCATGGAAAAGGAAGAGGGTAGGTTTAGTTCAGGTGTTCGGGAGGAATTCTTCGCTGTGAGGGTGGTGAGGCCCCGGCAGAGGCTGCTCGGAGACGCTGTGGGTGCTCCATCCCTGGAAGTGTAAAAGGGCAGGTTGGATGGAGCTCTGGACACCCAGGTTCAGTGGAAAGTGTCCCTGTCCATGGAATAGATGATCTTTAAGCTCCCTTCCAACCCAAACCATTCCATGATCTTGTGGTAAATTACATATTACACAATATCTACTCATTCCATGTTCTGGCAAAGGAGAATTTGTGACAAGCTGAAGATGCTACACCTACTAAAAATTAAAAGATGACCTGTCAGTGGGAGACAAGCTGTAGTGAATATTCTCTTGTTGTCTAATAAATGTCTTTCATTTGTGAAAGGCATTTTGGCTTGTTTTACTCATTGCTCTGGAAAGCTATTTTCAGAGATATCAGGTCCATAAATACAATTAATGAACAGGTATAATTGCCACACATTTAAAATAGCTTGTACACATGGGAGGGAACGATATCCTTAATGTGAGATATACCTTGAAAAATGGCCAAATCATGAGCCCCATATGCAAAAACATCCTCAAATTTTTACGTATTGTAACAGGGACAATATCTTGCTGAAACCTGTTGTTCTCTGCATTGTAGCAATTACCTCTGCATGTCAGGGTGCTCCTGTAAATCTGTCTTCTGTTTGGTGAGCTATTTCAGAGCCAAACTAATTTTAGACTATTTCCAGCAACTGCATTGACTGATCATATTGGGATCTTGTGAATATGTAAAAGCCCTGAGAGTTAAAAATGTGATTGTCACAGTCAGTCTTAGTCCTTCACAGCTGACAGTGACAGAAAATCGCATCACTTGTCCTGGAAGGTTATGTCTAAGCAATGTTTTTCTTTATGCCATTTCTTTATTTTCAATTTAACACTCATTTATTTAGTGAATACATGGGTTTGAAGGGTAAGAAACATTGAAGGGTAAGAAACATTGCAGTTCTTTTTGAGCAGAGAGCTCCCAGTTGCAGCTGACGTTGTCATTGCTGGATTTTGTTTTTTATTTTTTTTATGTTTGTGTGTTCTGCATCATCAGTGAGTCACAAGCCCCGGGAGGATGTATATCAATGCAAGTATCACAAAGCAGTTTCAACTTCATCATCAGTTGTTTTTCCCTCAGAATCCAGAGGCAGTTGGAGTTTCTAAGAAACTATAATCCAGATAATCTTAATGTAATATGGTCTGAATTATAAAAATTCCTGTTATTACAATGTCTTAGGGAACTCACAGCTAATTCAACAAGATGCAAGATCAGCTTCATGTTTTATGAAAAACAGCAATTAAAATTATCTAAGAAGAGATTCAAAAGCACTTAGGCAGCCCTTTCCTGTAATTTTTGTTAATTTTATATATTTTTTCAGTTGTTTCAAAGAGCACAGAAGAGTATCTGGGAGCAATACCTACTCTGCTCCATGTTGAAATGCTGAAGTTACCAGATGTCCTTGATTCATCTTGGCAGTCCCCATGTGCTTTTCATCATTTGTCTCGTGGCAGAAGACACTAATTAAAACGAAATAGAGTCCAACTCCACGCTCAGGACACTTTGTCAACTTTTGGCACCGCGGTCACGCCAGGATTGTTTTGCTGTGGTATTAAACAGCGAGCTGATGGCTCCGAGCCATGCCGGCATTTGTTTGTGAGAGGGAAAAGGTGGGGAAGCGGGGAGCAGACGGTGGCAGTGGGTGGTGGCAGAGCCAGGCAGGAGGCTCTGCTGGCCCTGTGGGGACACTGGGGTGCCCAGCTCCCCCAGAAGGAGCCACCCTGCCCAGCAGAGGAAGCTCTGAGCACCCACTGAGCCCCCAGAGCGTGTGCTCGGCGCTGTTACAGAACGTTTGGAGCGTTCAGGAGCTCGGGGAGCTAAATTTAGAGTGCCTGGCTGCGCTCTGGGTGTCGCTGGGTGCATGGTTCCTGTGGGATGGGATAAACTCACAATTCCCAACATCCTGAGTCTTCATATTCTGCAATCATATGGAGAATAAGGCCTGCACTTGATGTGACAAGGAAACACAGGTATTTATATCATTTCAAACTTAATAACGTCGGTTTTTTTGTTCTAAAAAAGAACATTTTGCTGTATTGTTTTGGAAGAAATCCGTTTCATTTTAGCCTTAAAATGATGCCTTCCTCTTTCTCATTTGCTGTTGAGTAATAAGCAGGGTTTGAACAGGCCTTGGGGAGGTGACCTGAATTGTATGGAGGGCAAAAATAAGTGATTTTTAATTCTTTGTAACCCTTGGAAGTGGCTCCTATGGGCTGACAAACAGAAGACAGGTAGGCTCATGAAAAATGCTTTGACAATACCTGTGACACATGATCTGATACCACACAAATGAGTTCAATGGCAAAAATCCAATGGTAAATGCCTCTTCAAAGTAGGGCTTCTTTACAAAGTAGGGCTTTTGCAGTAAACCTGAATTAATTTTAGCAGCTCTATTCAGTTTTAATAATTCCAGTTGCTTAAGACTAAAGGCAGCAGGAATTTGTAAGGAATACAGCAAGAGGACTCTTGTTGACAGAGCCAACATCCATCAAGCTGCAGTTCATTTTCTCAGGTTCAGCCGGGTCAACTGCAGCTTTGAAGAGCTCAGTAACTTCTGTCACCACAGTTTTACTGGCTCCTTGACCATAATAAGGTTTTTTGAGGGTGTTTCTAATTACCAAAGTCCTTCTCTCTTTTTCTTTCTCTTATTTTTTTTTTTTTTTTTTTTGTTTTCGAGGTCAAGTCAGCTTTTCCAGATTAATAGTCAAAGATTATTCAGAAATATCCCCATCCATTGCAAAACACGGGATTTCAGGCCTGAATCCCACTTCCAGCTGTCATGGAAATTTCCAGTCCCATCCCAAAGGAAAATTCCATTTTCAACCTCCCATTCAGACCCCAGTTCAGGAAAGGGTGTGCTTTGAATTTGTGTTCCTCTCAAACCCCATTGATGCAGCTCATTCTAACTTCTTTCAACAGCCTCAAACCCTTCTGTGAATTAGCCACTGAAACTTGTGCTCATTTCACAAACGAATGAATGAATGGCTTTTTAAGATAGATTTACGTAATGTAACATATTTACTATCAAAATGTAGTAAGCAGTAAGTTTATCTACTAAAAAAAAAAAGTGTTACAATCTCTTATTGACACGCTGCACTTTATAGACATTATTTTCTTGCTAAGGAGACAACTTGTTCTTTAGCCCAAAACATTTTAATTTAGTAACATATATGATACAAAAAGAATTACTAAGTGAGTGCAGTTGTAACTGTGTTGCTAAAATTGCAGCAGTTCACGCTAAATAAATTAAGGGTATTAGAGGGATATGTGTCAGAAATTTAAACCTCCAAAATAATGGAAACTGAGCAAGCATTCAAACAGCATATTGAGGCAAACATCCAGAGCCAATTAGAACCATTCCTTGAGGTCTGTAGAGTTTCTTTTTTACTTTTTTATATATGTTATACAATATTTTAAACAACCCCCCTTTTCATTGTTTGGAACTGAAATGTGATTTTATTTATTTATTTTTTAATATCCCAATACTTCTTTGGCTCTGTTTAAATCAATGGCAAGCAATACTTGTAAAAATGAGCAGTATTAGCTATAATTCTTGAAGTCTGACTTACTAAAATACAGACTTTTCTATGCATTATTTTGGCACACAATCTAACATTTTTACTGCTCGTGTGATGATGGGACTGTTTGTTTTAATGCCATTTATTATTTCAACAGCTAGAGTTCAAACTGTGCAGAGCTCAGGCTCTCTCATGGATAGACAGTGGATATTGTAGGAATATTTCTTGCTTGTGAGAAGCAAGACAGGAGCTGACAGTTTAACAGTGGGTGCATTTGTGGGTGAAATCCAGTCCTGGGCAAGGGGCCAGTTCCCGGTGATTTCATTCTTCAGGAGAGAACACGAAGGCAGGCAGCTTGCAGCAGCCAAGGGCAGGCAGCTCCCCTGACCCCAATCATCCCGAACGAGCGCATGGCCAGCAGCCACGAGGCAGCGAGGGCCCGGCCCGGGGACAGCGGGGGAAGCCGGGGCAGGGAGCAGCTGGCAGCGGCTGCCGGAGCCCCGGGGCTGCGGAGGAGGAGCAGCCGCGCCGGCCAGGCCGCTCCCGGCCCCTGCCAGGCCACATTCCCCTGCACCAGGCTCCCTGCGGGGCTCTTAGCGCGGCCCTGCTGCGCTGGGAACACAGGCTGACCCCCTGCTTGCCGTCCTTTCAAACGCTGTTATTTCCCTTCTGGAATAGTTGTGCTGCTGCCATGTCAGCGCTCTGTTCGTTCCATTTCTCTCAACCGTCAAACCATACTTCTAAACTTACTACAAATTGCTGCCGGGCTTGCAAGGGTTCTTCAGGGGTGAAGAGATAGACGAGAGTCTTGACTGCATGATCAGAAGGCTGAATTTAGTAATTTATGACATATAATACATTAAGACTATTGAAGCGAAGGGAGACGATCCATCTTTGTTGATCAGCATCGACTCCGATTTATTGATCTCACACACTTTTATAGTGGTGTTAATTAAGCTCATGCATATTGCAAAATCCGAGCTCACGATAGGCTACAGAGAAAACTCTAACCCCTCCTTTTGTTTACAATACCTGTGGTTTGTTTATTGAAACCAAGATTTGTGTTCTCACCCTGATATGAAAAGTTCTCAAAACCTTCATATCTGTTCCCAGAGCAGCCAAGGACAGAATATTTACCTGTTATGAGAAGACTGTCTGAGAATCCTGCTGTTTATAAAAAATGTGCCTGAGAACCTAGTTATTTACAGAAGTAGGCTTGGGAACTGCTGCTTTACAGCTGCCTTTTACTTTTCCATCAGCTGTATATTTTCATGGCCTCTTTCTTTAAGCCATGTCTGAGCAAAATTCTCCAACATAAGACTATACTAAAAGGATTAGAAAGAAAAGTTCAGAAGCTTGCTATGCTAAGAATAGAAAAGGAATGAATAAACAAAAGAGCTCTCTCGGATCTGTCCCAGAGAGAGCTTGGTCCCTGATTGGCCCTTAATTGTAAGCATGGAACATGGGCCAACCACAGGTGCACCTGCTGCATTCCACAGCAGCAGATAACCATTGGTTACATTCTCTTTCTGGGGCCTCAGCCTTCCAGAAGAGGGAAAAATCCTAAAGAAAGGATTTTTATGAAAGGATGTCTGTGACAACATATATTTATTATAGAATTACCAGGTGCTAAAACAGTACTACACATCCTAAAGCGCCTTTCTGAAGAATTATTATCCTGAGCATGGTAAGACAATCTCTTTGAAGAAGCTGCAGCACAATGACGTGCCCTTCCAACTTCTCTATCTCCTTTTGTTCAGGACAAGGGTGGAGTTCAAAGGACTTCACCTTTGTTGTTAATCCATTAAATACCTGAGAATAAATCTGATCCTAAATTTAGTCCCCCTGTAAAATAACTGAAGGAACAGTAATTGAAATTGATCAGGAAAATGGTTGTTATAATTTAGATGTACTTTTCTCAGCTCTGCATTCAGCACTCAGGTTAGTGGCCAAATCTCCTTTCCACATGAGTCAATCACTTTGTGGCTGACTCCAAGAGGAGACTGATTTCCTACCTTGAACTTTGGCTGCACCTTTGTACCTCCAGTTAAGCCATTTCTTCTCCATGTTTTCTTCAATTTACTCCACTTAGAGGCTTGCTGGCTCCTCAGTACTTCATAATGGAAAAGGTACAGAACAGATCAAAACAGGAACAAATAAATTGTTATTTTCCCTGTCCAAACGAAAGAGTTTCAAAGCAGGACTCAGGGTTTGAGAATCCTCCTGTGACCGCAGTGTTTGCCTGTTGCCAAGGCCTGTGGTAGGATCTGCATTCTTCTTGTGGCGACAAAATAAGTTCCTCCACCACAAGTAAATGCCGTCCCCACAAAATGGAATAATTTCAAACTCAGCATGACAGTTAAAGCCCTTGGCTTTCAGCAAACTGGGACTTAAGCAGCAAATCAAACAACCCATTTTCTTTTTGATGCAGTGCCATGAGGTTGGCTACTTAGAATCTCACTTTTTGTGCAGTAATAAAATTCTCTTCTGCCCCTCACTGTTGGGGACTGATGCTGTGACATGCATGAGAATTCCAGGCACATATGGGAAAAAATCAACTTGCCATGGAAGATTTACTGGAGAGGCAATGGTCAAATTTTTTCTTTCTCTGCAATTCTGAGCCTGGAACAGCTTCCTTGTCTCCAGCAGATGAGAACGAAATCTGGCTCATTTAATCTAATTTTGTCTCCGCCAACAGATCCTTCTCTCAGTTCTGGTCTGCAGAGCTGATTTTTATAATAGCTTCAATAGGAAAAAAAGAGTGAAAAATTAAAAAATCTCAGCACAGAGAGCCTCCAATGTTTCCTCTGGACATTTTGTAACTCCCACTGTTTACCAGTAACTGTGCATCTTTTTTATTTGAATAACGATGCCCATAACACTGGAAGCTCTAACATTTACTCAGCCAAGACCATTTATCTTGTTATAACAGGATCAGCATCTCAGCTGGGGCTTCTGGATGCTACTCTACTACAAACAAAATTAAAACCACCAGTCAGCTGAAATTAATAGTATATGGGAGCCACACTGTTCCTGTGCTCACACACAGAAGGACGTGTGGAGGGTGTTAAATCCCAGCACAATGCACTGAGAGAAATGGATTTTTCCATAATTACCAAACCCCTCAGACAGCAGCTATCACCAGGATCCAGGAGAGCTCCTGAAAATATTGCTCCAACATTCCTAATGGATGGTTTTCCTCGTGCCTACGTCGGCAAGAGCTGGGTGCCAGCTCCCCCCTCCTCCTGCACTGCCAGACGTAGGAAGGCTTTATTCCCAAACGGGAGCGTTTGCTCGCTGACATCACAAGCGCCAGGATCCTTTTGTTTGCCTGTGTCTCCTGCATTGAAATGTTTGTCTGAGTCACAGATCCCGCTGCCTCCCTTCCCCTATGTCATCCTGCTTGCTTCACAGCTTCTCCCTGACTCACAGTTTTTAAATTTTGACACAGCCCAGTTTGCTGCATGGCAACTCAATACTTTTCCCTTTAATATTTTATTATGTAATTTTTATCTAAACCCTATAATGATGCAAAAACCGCTTCTTTTTTTTTTCCTTTTTTTTTTTTGAATAGGGAGATTTTATGACTCAGATTCAGCACTGAATTTAATTTCAAGGGAAAGTCAGTTTAGTGTATACTAAATAAAAAATTTAACATAGTGACTCCCACAACTTGAATTCTCCATTTAGCTGCTGGCTGAGTTTCCTCAGCTCTAATGTTACCGAGTGCTCTGCCAAAAGGGGTCATCTCTGTGCATGTGTACAAACACTTCCCATAATTGAAGTAATTACTATTTTGCAGTGCAGCACCTTTCTTCTCCTCTAATAATCTCCTTGATTTGTTTTCTCTTAATAAAAAAGAGGACAAAAAGCTGCTGTGCTTTCAGCGTGGATTCATTCTCTGGGTTTAGACTCTGGAGCAGCTGATATTGCTGGTGCCTAAGTCTGGGTTTCCCCTTTATTACAGCCATGAACAAAAGAGATCCTGATCACAGTAAGAAATGAAATGAAGAACGTGGAAGCCATGGCTGTGCAGCAGTTTGGTTCAAGCCTGAGTCATGGTAAAATATTCCCTCTTACTGAGACAGGAACATAAAATTATCGTGCTGGATTAAATCCTTTGTCCTTCAGATGCAGCCTTTCATCTCTGTTGTTGGCACCACGGGATAAAGGAGAAGTTCAAAGCAGAGCTTTCACTGTCCTTGACCAAGGACTTTGCAGCAGGTGAGGGCTGAAGCCCCACTCTGGTGTAGCACTGAAAGCTGCATTTCTCTTCCAGCATCCACTGCCTGTGCCCTGCTCTGAGCCTGTGGAGAGCACAGTGCTGCATCCAAACTCCTTAAAATTCAGGTACACACAAAGCCAGATGACTGAGCCACATGCCTGTCACTAAATGTGCTGTGCTAGAGGCTCTCATTTCATTGTCTTTTCACCCAGTGTGAACAGATGCAGTTGTGGCCCCCACATCCAGCCCCCCTCCAAAAAAAAACCCAAACAAAAAATCCCCAGCCCCAAAGCTGAAGCCATTTCTTATAGAAAACATAATTTTTATTATAAAAGTACAATTATGCCATACACAAAGGAATTTTGTGCCACAAAAATGTGCACACTGCAGTCTTAATATTAAAATAAAGTCCCAAGCAGGAACTGAAGTTGGGAATCTCTCAGGCTGCCTTCGGCTGCATGTCTACCCTGGCACTGCTCTCCTGCAGGGTTTTAAGCTGACCCCACTGTGGGATCACTGTGGGGTGACTTTGGGGTTACTTTGGGATCACTTTGGGATCATTTGGGGTCACTTTGGGGTCACTGTGGGATCACTTTGGGGTCACTGCTGCTTCTCCTCCTCTGTCCGGGGCCGTTTCCGAGGGTTGGGCTCAGTCCCTCCTGTGCTGGCAGTGCCAGCTGGGGGCTGCACATCTCGGAAGCCATGGGGCTGGAAATGAAAGGGAAATCGTGTGCTAAGGCTTGTAGGGATAGAAGGCATGAGTAAGCAGTTCCCAGAAGATCAGAATAAGGATCATGCTGCCATTTATTCGGGATGAGCAGCCACAGAATGTTTATAGACCAGGTTAAGCTCAGCGCTGCAAACTTTACAACACATGTGCCAATTCATGTCTGCTCATTTTGGTTTTTAAAGATATTTTATTTTCGCCAACCAGGCTATCACTTCCATTTTACTGTTTATCACCCCTATGGCTATGAAAAACTGCTTCTCTGTAAATTAACTTATGTTGCCTATTTAAATAAATCAAAAGACAAATCCATCAGCTCCCACAGAAGCAAGGAGATGACTGGATTAATTGCCTCAGTCATTTTCAGAAACAAAACTGTGAATTTCTACAACCTAGGATATTTTTGTTCCATGTACCTACTTAATGAACTGAAAACATCAATGAGACATTGTAAGAGAACAGCAGAGCTGAATCTGTCTCTAGACTGCAAAGACTGTTCCAGCATAGTAATTTATGGGACACAATGGGATGAAAACCTTTGACTGCCAAAAACTAAATGTAGAAGTGAAAACTACAGGCTGCTACTCAGGAGAGTGCTTGAAGTGATCTATCTGGCCTGGTACCACTTGCATTTTCTGTTACTGTAGCTCACAATTTAATTTTTAACCATTTTAAAATATGAAAGATCTCCAAGTCAGTTAGCTAAACATGCCATGGATGCAGATGGAGATGGTGTGTTGTGTGAAGCCTGCAACTCTGAATTCCCATCTCCAGACAAATGCTGTGCAGAGAGCACTGCTGACAGCTCAGTGAAGACTCTCAGTGCAGCCTTAGAGAGGAAAATGCATTAACCAGAACACAAAATTGCTCTGCTGATCCAAAATGCTCAGGTAGAGACAATGTGGGGACCAGAGCATTTCAGGCACGCTGACATTTTGGGTTGGTGCAGGAGGAATGCAGGCAGAATTACCATCAGAGGTGACTCTTCCCAAATGCCAGCGTGTCCCACACCAAGACCAATCCTAAATCCCAACAAAATGTCTTGTTTAAGTCTCCCATCCCTGTATTTCTATTTCTGAATGCCTCACCTCACCCAACCCGGGCTTTTTAAAGGAACAAACAGCAAGAGCTGCTACAAGGGCAGGATCTGTGCAACCCCTCTGCTATTTATAAGCAACTCAAGTGTTATTCTAAAGAGCATAATGGGGAATCTTCAAGTTTAATGTTTCACTACATCTAATCCCTGCCATTTCCCTGAGGCACAAAGGTGGATCTGCAGCCAAGTATCCACTTAATCCAGAATGCTGACTCCCAGGAAAAGCATTCCAAGGGTTAGAAAGGCCAGAACATAAAGCAGCCTGCCCAGGATGGATGTTTTGCACTTGGCTACAGGCAGGCACCTTGAAAATACAAGAATTTTGTGTACATTTGTGAGGTTTGGTAGTGGCTTTCAGATGGTGAGGACGTGGCTGCTGGAACCAAGGACGAAGCTCAGTCTTTCATTTGGAATTGTTCCTTAATGTCCTCTGGATTTACACCCTCTGCAGCAAGACTGGCAAGGGCAGATGTGTTTATTACCTGAGCACTGCTCCCAGTGCTGGCCTGGCAGACCCTCCAGAGCTCAGGGAAACACAATTCTTACTTGGAATTTAGATCCTGGGTCTCTGTCTTTCACTATGAAATAATCAGGTCACATTCCTGGGAAATTCAGGTGAATCAGCCCAGCTACTTACTCCCTTGTGCATAAATCAATTTCCATTTCTATACTGTGCATTTAAGAATGAATCCTTATCAGCCAGTGGAAGGAGGGATTTCATGGGAGAGGAGTTCCACAGCCCCCTCAGAGTGGTGACTGACTCCAGTGTGCTGGGAAGGACAGGATAAAAAAAGCCCAGAGCTCACTCATGAATTTACACATTTCATCAGCTCACGGGTGCTGAGCAGCCACTTTGCCAATGGTACCAATGCACCTCATCTGCACAATCCTAAGGAATTATTATTTTTTAATATATTTTTGTTTGCTGGTTGTGCACAAATCTGACCTGGAAACACTGGTCATGTATTGACATCTTTCAGTTTAACTATGGAATGAGAAATGGTAACAGCAAACTGTTATCAGACCTGGATTTCATGAAAGAAATGGAGATAATACAATTTTTTACTAAAAGAAATCATCTGCTGAAGCAGTTCATCAGGATTAAGGGAAAAAACCACAGGGATAATCTTAAATATTAACTAATCTTTGATCAGGATTCACTCTCAACTCTATTTCAAGATAGTGAGCATTCACACAGAAGAGAGCATAGCTGTTTTATGGTGCTTATAAAAATGAAAGAAAAAGACAATTAAACTGTCTGAGATAAAATCCATCTGTTTGTCAGCTGGAGAAAAAAGGACTCACATCACATGATCCAAACAACCTTGGCATGCAGTCCCACTTCCCCTTCCAGTCTTTATAAAAGTTTATATTTGCAGTATTTCTTCTGTCCTGGTGAATACATTCAGGAGTGGGGGGAAAACCCTGATTTCTCTTTGAAAGTTTGAGGATTTCATCTGATGGCAGCATTAAAATCTGCAGAAAATGCTATGGCAACGTGTTTCCATGAGGACATGTAGCCAACAGTGATGGAATTGTACCTATGGATGTGACATTTGAGGAGGTAAGAACTGAGTGGTGCTGCCTTTTTAAACCTAAATACAGCTTGGACAGCATCTCTTCTCATTAATATGTATCTAAGCACTTCACAATAGGAAATAATCACAGGATTTAACTGGGGATAAGAAGGACTCCAGCCATAAGCTGGAAGCTCCTTCTATGATAGGGACAGAAGAGAAAAATCCCTATATTGGCTGGGTGTAGGGTCAGTGTAGGATAAACAGTGTGGGTTACACCACACAGAAAGCAGAGATGGAGAAATACCCATGGAACAAAGCACTGGAGAGGCTCTGGAATATCAGGTTTAATTCTGGTCATCCTCATCCTAAAAAGATGAACTCAGTTGGAACAGAGGCAAAAAGCCACCTGAGAAACCACTCCCTGCCTGAGCAGGGAGACAATGGTTCAAGTGCCCCAAAATGAAGCTCAGATTGCTCTTGGTAACTGCACTTAGGGCAAAAGTTAACTTCAGGGGCAGATAAAATAAACAGCACCAGCAGCAGAACAGATGGGGACAGGCTGCCTGAAAGTTTGGTCTGGAAATCAAAAGTATTTTAACTTTGAGTAGACAAAATGCTGGGTCACTTTTCTAAAGAGAAAAAGAGCAAATTACCCCAAAATCTGGAGCTACCCCAGTATAACCACCTCCCTTCAGAAGGCAGCTGGAAAGCAACAGTCAGAAAGCAAAGGCCACTGTGAGATTTGTGTGAAATTCCTTTGCAGGTGACATTCCAGCTGGGAATGTCCCTCCCACAGGGACACTCACTGTGATCTCATAGGCTATGGTGGATTCCTTCTGGCTCGGTGACTTGTACAACGTGGCCAACCTGGGAAAACAAATCCCAGGTAATTATCGTTAATTAATACAATAATAAAAATTCCAAATAGCCCAGTGACCAGACCCAAGTTTTCCCACAGTACCAGTGGAATTCTTAGGGATGTATTTTCATATAGGTCATTCAAACTGTGGATTCCCATCCTTACATGACCTGTCAGCTCAAACACAATCTAGACCTACTAAAAAGAGTGAATGATTAATTAGCCTTGTTTCATCACAGTATTTGATGACATTTTTGGAACAATATTCATCATGAATTAATTCCAAATGTCACTTTCTTAAAATGCAAACAAAAAAGGTTTTGAGCACACCTCTTCCCTACTCCATTAATCACTTGTTCTTTGCCCTCTCAAGGATGTGAGAGACCTTCAAGAACTCTTCAAGAATTCCAGTACTTCTAGGGAGGCTTTTTGCAGAGATTTCCCAAGCCTGTCAATATAACCCAGAGGCTGGAGATGTTCTATTTCTAAGCCTGCCCTTGCCACTGACACACAGCACAACCTTGAGAAAATAGTTTCCCTTTTATTTCTCCTCTGACACTTCCCTGATTTGCTGCATTTAAACTCTAAGCAATACACCTTGATTTGTGTTCTACAGCAAATGCTTGCATAATATAGAGAGAAAATTGCACAGCAGCTCAAAAGGAAAGGGGTTTTCAACCCTTGTCAGGGCTGCACCGTGCCCACCTCCCCAAAACTCACCCTTACATAAGCCAATCCAGAAAGTGTTCTGCTCTCTGTAGCAAGACACCCTGCCAAAAATCCTGTTAATTATTTTCGGGGGGGTTTTTCCTCCCTGAGGTGCCTTTCTATTAGAGAGCACGTAATTACAGCCTGAGGAACGCTGCCACTTCATGTTAGCTACACAGGGAATTCCTCAGAACACTCAAATGCTGGGTTATACTTGACAAAATTGCCCAGATGTGGAGCTGCAGAAGCCAGGCTTTCACAAGAGCTCAGCTGGAGCCTCTGACTCAACAGGATCTTTCCTCCCAGCAAAGAGAGCTCTCAGAATTAAGCTCTGACATTTTCAGGAGTAGAGAGAAAGGAGGAGACAGGTATCAAAGTGGCCAAAGCACATTTAAAAATTATTTTTAAAAAGGTAATGGATCCTCGAATGATCTTTGTGCCTCAATAACTTGATATAAAACCAATAAAATCACAATGGAGCATCAGCCTGTGCAAAAATAAGACAGCATTGAGCTATTTCTGCTTTTATCCAGAATTGCAGTTTCTGCAGGCCCCACTCCACATTAGCTTTTTACATCAGTAAATAAGCCAGGTTTGTCTCTCCTTGGCTTCTTTTCTGGAACTTCTATCTGCAGCCTTCCCAGCTCTGTTGCAGAAGAAAAAAAAAAAGTTCTTTTCATATATAAAATTAACTTTTGTTCACTCTGTAATCATTATGTTGATGCAACTTGTCCTAAAAAGACTGTTAACTAATCAGTGATGTTAATTTAATTCCAAATTAAACAGCCTGCTGTAATCATCCTGCATTGCCTTCAAACTTAGAATTTAAAAACAAAACTCCCCAAGAAAGTGTCACTGCATTTTCCTTTTAAATTCAACAAGCAAAACACTGCACAACAACATTCTAGCACCACTTTTGCTCACTGTTTGCACAAGATTAGGGAATTGCAGCACAGCTCCTTAATCTCAAGCTGCTGCATGGTGATATTGCATAGAGGACAAATTTAACTGACCAGGAAAGAGAAATGACCTTGCAATATAAAGAGGGGAAAAAAGAACCAGGAAACAGGGGAGGTCTGTGCAACAAACAGAATTTCACACTGGTTTTTGGAAGGTTCAAGCCCTGAAGCTCAGGGTCAGCAGCCTGTCCTGAGGGTCACAGGCCAGGTGGCCTTAAAGCCTTCTTTGGCATCTCTGGCTTTGGACTGACTGGGGATGGAAACACTGAAGCAAAATAAAATTATTCTCAAAGAAATTATAGTGGCTACAACCAACCACGGAGGAGTGGGAGGTTCTTTATAATGAGACTGTTGAAATTGCACCTCTTCAGAGTGAGGCATAAAAATCACCTTGTAACCCAGCAGATCTATACTTGCACTGAGTCTGTGGCAAAAATTCACATTAAAATGAGAAGAGTTTCATTGAAAAAAAAAAAAAAAATATCTTGCAAAATGCAAATAGTAAAAGAAATCCTTGTGTCTGAGCCATGAGGATGTTACACATTTATAAACCATGGCATCTTGTCAGGAAGAACTCACCAAGAGGAGGAGAAGGAGCCTGACAGTTCAACCCTCACTGAGACAATTCCTGAGCCTTGGGAGCCTGGCAGAGCAAGGCCAGGGGCCAAATTCAAACCTCAGCTTGGCCCCCATGGCCAGTTTGAAACATTCTCCTGTGCCATTCTTGTATTTATATAGATTTTTCTCCCATTTTCCCTCACCTCTGAGTGTTGTCCCAGTGGAAGATCAAACGGACGGTGGCAGCGTGTCCCCAGCTTTCTCCTGAGTAACACAAAATGACAGATCTTTATCTCTTACAACACCACCAGCAGCAAGCTGAAATTAAATTAATCTTCAAAACCACCCCATGATTAAAACAAAATCTGCCTTTCTTGCAGTGATGCATCACATCTTTTTCATACTTGCAAGGAATTCACAACAAATAGACCTAAAAAAGGAATAACCTCTGTGGTCTGTGTGTTTTACAGAAATCTTGATGCAATACTTCCATATTTCAGAAAATATGAAAAATTTGAAAATATAGAAATATAGAAAATATGAAAATATAGAAAAATTTCATGGATGCCTAATAAAGGACAGGTACTGAACAAGTCTTGAAAACAGAGGCAGCTTGAAGAAGAGATTTGTCTAATTACTACTGAAGAAGTCTGGTGAGGAGGTCTAAATCCTACTGCAGAACTGTGATATTCTGTCTCTCAGGCATAATTATGAGCAAACATCAGTCCCTTTGGGATGGCAGCTTTGGGAGAAAGTCAACCATTATTAAAGCATTAAGGGCCCCTGAAGCAGTTTTCTGCTTCTGACAGCAAAATGCAAAATAACCAAAAGCAAGCAGGGAGGTATGGTGGAAAGAGAAGGAAATTTAGATTTTCATCCTGCTCCAGGGGCTCAGTCCCAATGTTTCAGCTCACACCTGACCACAAGTCAATGTGCAGACATTTTATTGGGTGCTTTTTCCTCTGTTTATCCCTGTCAGCACCGCAAAGATGGATTGCATTTTAAACCAGCCAAATCTCCCCTGCCCACCTGCTCTTTGCTCTCCATCCCTCCCTGGTCTGCCCCACACCCCCAGCCCCTCGTGCCCCCTGTGCTCTGGTATTTATTACAGCATAGATAAGAAAAAAAATGATCCCACTATAATGAAGACCTAGACCCTTTAGGCATCTTGCCAGAGCTTGCTCCACTACATCCGAGTTGAGATTAAAGATTTTGGCTCTCAGAGATGGCTCTGAGGCAGAGATCAAAACACATTTTACAATGGCCACAAATTCCACACCTGCAGATTTCCAACTGCACTGAATATGTGTGAAAAATGCTACTGTAAAATGAGATATTTCTGAGTTGAACTGCCTGTAGATTAATATTTGACCTCCTTTCTAAATATATTTAGTAGAAATGTCTAGGAACACCCAGCTTAGCTATCACAAGTGGGAAAGAAAGCTGTCCCCTTCATAAAGCTCCTGACTTAATACCTTGCAGCATCTGTGCTTTTTCTTAACTCTTTTTTTTTTCCTCATAATTAAGATCTTCCCTTCTGCTCAGGAGCTGAATAAGAGTTTAGAGATTAATGCTTTCATGGAAAAGCTGTTTCTCAGGCTTAGCAGTCAATGGGAGGAAAAACCCAATTTAGTGATTTTACTTGGGGGTTTGCTGCTGACCCCTCCCTCAAGTTTTAGCTACACCAAACCATGGAGGAGTGGGAGGTTCTTTAGCCTTTATGATGAGACTTTTGAAACACCATCTTTCCAGAGCAAGACATCAAAACCACTTGGTTAAATATTCTCCCAACTGGTACCAAGCTGCATTTTTGGAAGAGTTCACACTGCTGAGTTTAACAATGCTGTGGCCACACAGGCTGGGGAGAGGCACAGGCAGCTCCACAGGAGGTCATGTCAAATTAATTGTTTGTGAAAGAAAATATGCACAAGGCAAGGCAGGATAGCTGGGAATTATAAACTCCCCTGAATGTCTTCACATTCTTTACTGTCCCCATGACTCAATAAACACAACAGCTCCCAAACAATGCTGGCCAGTGAAAAAAGACAGACTCTATTAGCTTTAATTGAGTTTGTAGCCAGAAAGGCTGCCAAAAATAATCCATCAGAGAGCAAGAGGCAAAACTGACAAAAAGGGTCAGATCCTGGGAGCTGGGTCTGCCTGCACAGCTCCAAATTCCACATTCTGCACATTCCTGCAGGAGATGGGCTGTGTTTGTTCATTTTACCCTCTTTCTCTGCCAAATGGTTTGGTGCCTCTACAGACTCTGGGAACATCTTTGCCTTGGTACTGTCCCCTTCCCTCTCCTCTCCAGAGCAAGGGAATCATTACTTGACTCACAGAAAATGAAGAATTTATGCCCTTTAAGTGAATCATAAAATAATGCAATGCTACAGCCTGAAATAAGATTGAAATGCTGAACCTTTCCTTAATTTGTAGAAATCTCCACTTCAGAACTGTTTTATTTTCCCCTGTGACTGCAGCAGAAAGGCATGGATGAGCTATCTGCTCATTACAGGGCAAAATTGAGCAGCCTGCAAAAAAAAATCTTTAACCTGGCTCAGGGCAGGCTGTGCCTGAGGATCCCCCACAGAACCTCCCTGTACATCATAACTGCAGAGAATTCCAGTGATACAGCAAATATGAAATGCCTTTGCAAATAATTAATGGGACATGTTCAAGGGTAATGGGCAAATAAACAATTTAAACTGTTTGGGAGAGGCACTGAATGGTTCTTAGGGAATTTAGGGAATTGCAGCTTAGTTTGGGGTATGCAGCCATTAAGCTGGGTTCTTTTTTGAGTGATTTAACCTTCTCCTCACCACATCCCTGCTAGAGGTTTACAGCTCTCAGGTACATTTTTGGATGATTTCTCTTTGTACATAAAGCCAAAGGAAAGGAACTCATATATCAATTTTCAACTCAAAGCTCAACACTTACCTAAAGCAGGTACCAGTGTGGACTGGCTTTGTCCAATCCTTGTTGTCATTTGGTTTGTCAGAACTACCTGAAAGAGGAAACAGAAGAAAAAAAAAATATAAATTAAATCTCCTGGAAATCAGCTCACTGGTGGGAGGGAAGAGAGGGAATTTTCAAAAAAGCTTTTGCAGTTCCTCAGGCAAAACTCTTGGCAACTGTAATAAGGAGAAACTGTAAGGGTGCCTCATCTTTTCAAAACAAATTAAGAGTACCCTGCAAAATGTATTTTTGGTTTGAATGGGAGATTTCTTTCATTCAAGACTTTAAAGAAATCTCAATTTCTCCCTCTCCAAGGGAGACAAACTCCACACAACTTATTTATCCCACAGCATTTGTCCTAAATGCTGTTTGGATCTATGTTTAGCTGCAGCTGACTCGCACTGGCCTTCCATGAGGAGCCAGCTCAGTCCCTGGGTAAATGAACTTGGTGCTGCTGCTCCCAGTGTGCATTAGCCTGGTGATTAACTGAATTCCTGTGCCTTGTAGTCTAAAAATGCACAAGTGGGTACAAGACAAAGCAGAATGGAAGTGAACAGACAGAGCGGGGGAGTGTTTTCGCAGCCCCAATCACGGGTGGGAGGCTCACAGACAGTCTAGGTTACATCCCTGGCAGAGGAGGGGGTGGCTGAGACAGAAAAGAGCCAGGAATATTAATGACAAAGTTCATTAAAAATGAAAAATTGTACCCATCTAAGACCCTAGAGAGTTCCATTGTTTGACATGCTCAGAGGATTCTTGCTGGAGTAGTTCAGGAAAGTGTGTGAGAGCAAAGAGTTCCACTGAGCACAGCCTGAAACATCACACAGCTGAGGGCCCAGCACAGATATTGCACATTTTAGAGAAGTAACTCATCCCAAGTGCATGGTAACAGCCCCAAATAGGCTCCTCATCCCCCTGCTGAGGGCTGGGCATCCTCACTCTGAGTCCAGCTTTAGGATCTGACTTCCTTCCATATTAGAGCATCCAGAGCTGCCTGACAAGCAATCCCTGGCATGCAGGCTGGATTTAGCCTGCTCACAGCTCATGGAACTAACTCAGACACCACCAACAAGAGGGCAAATCCAAGCAAAACCCTTCCTGAAGCTCTGACTCCTTTAGCAAGAGTTTATTTATTATATTTGTACTAAAGTGCTGCCTGGTTCAGAAGAAATTATTTATATATTTTATCCTTGACCAAAATAAAAAATTGTCCAATGACAGCAGCTGCTGTTCAAGGTCACCAGGTACCAAACTGTGGGGGAAAACCCTCAGGAAACCTGAGGCTGAGCAGACCTTGGAACATCATCTGCCTGGTGCCCAGAGCAGCAGGAAGGAGCTCCTTGTCATGTCAGGACACTTTGGGAATGCTGGGCTCTTCCCCTCCCACAGCTCCCAGAGGAAGCACAAGAGGAGTTTTATTTTTAGCAGCTTGGAACAAAAGCCAACTGCAGCAGAGAGCTGTGGGTGACAAGGTCACAAGTCACCTGGACACCGTTAGAGACACAAGCACCATTTTGAGGGCTGGGGAAGCTCCAATTCCTGAACAATGCTTCTCTGAGCTGTCAAGAGACTTCCAAAACAACTTCTGGAACAGCTGCAGCTTCCCAGTGCCATCTGCTGGCTGTGGCCCTGCTGCCTCCAGACCGTCTGTGACGTAAAACAATGCCCAGCAAGGAGCCTCTGGGTTTCCATGGATGCCAATCCAGCAGATAAAGTGGTTTTCCTCCCTAGGAATGCTAATGTTTATTTTTAAACAGAGAGTGGAAAGTTGTGTTGAATGAAACACAACTTGTTGTGTGGAAAGTTGTACCTGAATGCTGCCAGGTATTTTTGTAGGTAAAGTCACCAGAGGAGCATTCCTTGTCCAACCAAATCACTGGAGATGATGGCATTAGAAATGCCATGCTGCCACTTAATTAGGGATGCTATTGATGCAAATTTCACTTATTTTGGCAAGTCTAGGAATTTCCCACCTTTTAGGTGTTTTGCCTTTGTGACCCCTCTATATTCACCAACTAAACTGGCAAGAGTGAGTGCAGAGGGCGTTACTGCAGAGGGTATTACTGCAGTTTTATGCTGCTATTTAGAGACACATTTCCGTAATTCTTTATAAAATAAAGTATCATATTTTGGGCTGGAGGGCTGCCCTGCACTCACAGCTGCCCTGTGCTCGTTGGCTGTGATGATGAGCTGCTGGGCCAGCCCGTTGAGCAGCCGCGTGCGCAGCGCCAGGTCCTCAAAGTCGTGGCGGAAGGGAAAGGCAATTCCATCAATCACCACCAGCCGGACCTAAGGGCAGCAGAAAAGATCAAAAGCTGTCATTACCATCCTATAAAAAATGACAACAAACAGCAAGAGATGTTTTTAAGTGCACTGGAATGTTTTGTTTCATCCTTAGGTGAACACGACTGGCAAAGCTGGGCTTGAAGCCCTGCAGAGGAGAAGCTGGAGAAAATAATCATTAAACAGCAGAACTGTTCTTCAGTCAGCTCTCCACAAACAGCAATTAATTCACCTTCTCCCTCAAAAATGAAATCCAAATCAGAATCAGAATTCAGGCTCTCTGGAGGCACTGCTGAGATAACTCAGCTGTTATCAGTGATCTGCCTTGGAAACACACAGTTTAACAGATGCCTGAAGATATTCCAGGCACACTGCACTGGAGCTGAGGATCTATCTTGCCTCAAGATGTTTGCTTTGCTGAATTATTTCTTTTGTAGCAATCATTAGCTGAAGTCAGAGCACGCTGCAGCTGCTGGCTCATCACCCTCAAGACACTGTACAAACATTAGTCTGGGATTTTGATTTATTCTGACTTCATTTGTTGTGGCTGTTTTGATGACCCAAGTATGAAATACAGGAGGGAGATGGATGGTCTAACAGTGCCTGCATATTCAGATGTCACTCAAATCCCTGGTGTCTACAAGTTCCTGCATTACTGCACAAGATAACAAAGTGGAACAACACAAAAATCCTGATTTTCTGCATTACTGATTTAACTCCTTACTGGGAAGCCTCTTTATGACTGGAACATACAAGCCTGCACAGACATCACTGTGGAATGGTCCTGGGCCTCCAACTGAAAAAAACCTCTTAATTTGCAAAAGAAAATTAAATAGTTGGGATTAAAAGAAGACATTATTGTATTCTCATTTTCCCTTCTTCCTACAAATTCTTTTCCACGAGTCTGTACATTCTCCTCATGTATCGTTTCTTTAAGAACAATTAGTTTAACAGCATAAACATGACTCATGCTAGACAGGAATGTGTAGATGGTTATATAACTTGGCTATCACAATTATGTCCAGGTAGGATGCAATTTAGTTAAATTTCTCCCAGAGAGCAGACAAAAAAAACCTAAAGTATTTAAAGTGTAAAGAAAGCTTGGTAACACCTGTCTTGTCCATGCCAGCTTGGCTCTAGCAGACCTTAAATAATTAGGTTTTTTATCACAAGAATATTTTTAAACAGTCTTTCTTACATTATTAACAAGATCTCAAACTAATTCATATTTCCAAATGGCACATTTGGACCTCTAACTGTACATCTTTCTTATCTCTAAACCTCTACAACTTTTTCCCTCTCCAAAAAACCCTGAAATCTGGAGGCTTCCTGTGGTCCCAGACTGGGCTCCAGAGGGACCAGACTAATTTTAATAATGAGAGCTGGACTGCAATGAGCAATCTGCCAAATCACTTCTAGCCCATCCAAGGAATCAGCAGAAGGTCTTGTGGTTCTCCTGCAACCTTCAGCACTTGAGGCTGCAGGCCAAGGCCAGATAATCAGCACAGATGGTTCCAGGGAGCTGCAGCCCAGTGGAACTGTGCTAATGAAGCCATGTACTTTCCACAAGAGCAAACACAACAGGGCACCGTTAGTACCTGGCAGGGAAAGGGGAATACCAGACTACACTGAGGCTCCCATCTGTGTTTTCCAGAACACCACAGCTCCCATCAATGAAAAATTTTGGAATACGTGCAAAAGACATTCTAATCCAGCACTGATTTGTGCTCTGATGGAACAAGGCACAGTCATATTTCCCAGATCCTGACAGGGAGTGATCTGCAGTGCAGAACCCAGAAATCTGGAGGGGAGGTGGTGAAAATCTGCCTTACAATAGCATTTCTCTAAGACATTAGGTACTAAGAAACTTTCTGGCTGCAGTCCACCCAAGAGTCAAGCTGCAGGCTCTGGTTGCTTGTAGCAACAGAAGATGCACTAAAAAGAGGAGTCACTTGGATGGTGCAGGATATTTCTGATCCTCAGTGATCTTTTAGGGCAAAAAAAGAGGCACCAAGGCTTTCTGACGCCCCCCTCATGGTCAGCACACCCCCCTGGCTGGCAGGCTCTTGTGCAGAGCAGTTCTGTGCTGATTCACAGCTCAGTGCTCCCAGAAATGGAACATGTGGCAGCACAGACCCAGTGTCCTCAGCTCAGAGTGGAAATTCAGGAGGATGGCAAAAGCAAATTACTCTTGAGAGGAATTGGGATGGGAACGAAAAGGCAAAACAAGCAGAAGGCTTTACATTTGTACTCTGCCATCAGCCAATGTTTCACTGCCAAGCTGACGAGGTACCAAGGTGTTTACTCCTGTTACTACAGCAGACAAAAACTCCTGAGTGTGAAGATGAGTGACACCTCCTGACAAGCCTCACCTTGGAATGCTCTGCCAGGAATTCTGGCAGGAGGTAGACCTGGGCCAGCAGCTCTGTGTAGTCACGACAACGGAAGCAATAGATGTGAGAGAGGATATTTTCCACAGAGAAAGTCTCCAAAGCTTTCCCATGATCTGAGAACAAAACAAACAGACGAGTAAATGAGTCAGGAGTCTCTACGAGCATATTGTTACTTTCATCATCCCACCAAAGCCTGCCCTCCACACATAGCAACAGCAAAGCCCCCAGAAACAGAACACGCAAGGTAAGGAGTGTGGAAACATATTTTCCATCTGGCTTGAAAGTCAGCAAGGTGGGGAGCAGATGCCATCCCAGCATTTGCACACAGACACACTGGAGCCTCCAAGGGAGGCCTCCAACAATGAAAAATTTATTTCTGAAGCAAGAACTTCTCCAGTAAATCGTCTTCAAGCCAGAACGCCACCAGAGGACATCAGGGACTATTAATCATCCCTTGTTTAATATACAGGCAGTACCTCATTTAATACACTGTCTCTTTAGCTCAGTTCAAACAGAAGTTTGGTGCATAAATTCTCCATGAGTAACACAAAAGTTGTGTCCTTATCCCCATGAGACTGATGACTTAGAGAATAAAACCTATTAAAAGCAGCCTGGCTATATTGACTTTATGGAGGAGCTGAATTCCAGCTATGGTTTTACTCTAAGGGCCTTCAGCAGCAACATTGCCTCACAAAATTCTGCTTTTCCTCTTTTCTTTCTCTACCTGCTCCTGTGTTTTGAAACAAAACACTCAGTTTTGCTCAGCAGGTGCAAATATGACCAAAAAGGTGCTGCAAATATGATCATTAAGGTGCTAAAAAAATGGAGGAAAAAGAGGAAAGGAGGAATATCAAATATCAAAATCTAACACGCGGTCTAAAACCTCCAGGATCAAAATGTTCACAAAATCACCCTGTAGAAAAATAATTCTTTTTGAAGTAGCCCAGCCCAGTCTGCTCCAGACACAGATGTAGTTCAGGGTTTGATCCACAGAGGTGGAAATAAAAAGCTGTCAGCAAACACTCTAAAAGCAACACTGCAGCCTACGAGCCACTTGTTTCACTCCATCCTTGCCTCCTCCAGAAAAGAAACGACTTGGCAACCTACCCTCTTCTTGCTGAGCCTCAGCAATGAGGTGGCAGTGCTGCACACAGGCAGCTGCAATGTCCACCACTCTGTCCACCATAAAACTGCCCTCGGTGTCAATGAACACAGCTTCTCCAGCAACACCCCCAAAGCACTCGGGGATCTGGACATCCACTGCCAGCTGCATGCTGAGAGGGGAAACAGAACCAGAGATCAGTATCTGCATCCCAGAGCTGTCCCTGGGAAACAGAAACAGAGATCTGATATGGAAAACAGAAATAGAGATCAACATCTGCATCCCAGAGCTGTCCCTGCTCACTCCTGGAGTGATATTCCTGCTGAGGAATACACAGGGAGCAGTGCAACCATCACTGTATTTATAATGCTGGAGAAGAATCAGAGATTGCAGTCAGACAACAAGAAAAATGGGCTCATTTCATAGGAGAGTTGAACAAAAAGTGACTCCTGGCTGCACACAAGGCACGGGACAGTGAAATACCACAGCTGGGTTTTGCCAACTCCGGGTGCTCCGCAGATCTCGGTGATTTTTGTCAGCTGCACTCCACCTCCCAGGATGTTGTCCAGTGCTGAACAGAAGGTGATGATGAAGCCCTGGGTTTGCTCTTCTTCCAGGAGCTCCAGGGCTGTGCATTTCCTGGTGGCACCTGATCCCCCAGCCGTCCTTGCTGTGTCCCCGTGGCATTCCTGCCTCACCACCTGCAGCGCTTCCAGCGCCTCTTCCCTGGAGATTCCAATTTCTAGAGAAGCCAAAAGCACAAAACACCACTTTTATTTTACAAGCACTGACTGATTCCACAAAATGTTCCATGTTCACCCTCTCAGGACAACATGCACACAGCCCTGGAACTAACGATGTGATTTTCAAACTGTTATTGTAATGGATAATAAAACTAGAAAATCAAAATCCCAGACAGGTTTGGGTTGGAAGGGGCTGTAAAGACAACCCAGTTCCAGCCTGCCATGGGCACGGACACATTCCACTATCCCAAGGTGCTCAAAGCTTCATCCAGCCTGGCCTTGGGCACTGCCAGGGATCCAGGGGCAGCCACAGCTGCTCTGGGCACCCTGTGCCAGGGCCTGCCCACCCTCCCAGGGAGGAATCACTACACGCTCCTGGAAAAAGGCAATTTTCTAACTTCAAACAGGCTTATTTTGTTTAAATCACCTAGTAAGAAGAAGAGGAAAGCTGGGGAAAGAGAGATGAGTCTAACAGAATCCCTCTGCTTTCCTGCATCCCATTTCCATCCATCAGTGTCAGCTGATCTTTTACCAGAATCCTCTATTTTTTATTATTATTATTCACTGTGCCCATTTCCCGGAGGCCTCACTGGGGCCGGAACGGAGAAGGGGAAGAGCCCGGAAGATCCCGGGGAGGCCCCGCGGGGCCGAAAGCCGCCGGTACCTTTGCTCAGGCCGCAGGGCCCGGTGTCCAGCAGCTCCTGCGCCGTCTGGAAGCCGGCGGCGGCGAGGCGTGCGCGCAGGGCGGGGGCCAGCGGCAGCGTGCCCACCTCCCGCTGCATGGAGACACCGCCACCGGGACCCACCAGCACCGGGCACGGCCCGGATCGCTCCGGACACGGCTCGGACACGCTCCGGACACGCTCCGGACCCGAACCGGGAAAGCGCCCGCTCCCGGCCACGCCCACCGGGCCCGCCCCTCACTCTTTGGCCCCGCCCCCGCCCCACCCTGGCGCGAAGCGGGAGCGCGCTGCCTCCGCGCATGCGCGCTGGCGTTCCCGCGTGTCGGGGCCGTTCGGACGGCTGGTGAGCGGTGCCCCGTGGGCCGCGGGTGTCCGGGGCTCCGGGAGGGGCTGGAGCAGGCATTGCCCACCGGGAATGCCGCTGGGGTGACCCGCCTGTGTGCCCCGGCGACATCGCTGCTCCTGGCAGGGTCTGTGATCTCCCGGTTGTCGCCTTTCCCGTCTCAGCGGGCAGTGTTAGGGAGGGCGGGAGGCTGATTTCGCCTCCCATCTCTGGATGTTTCTGCAGGGAGCAGAGCTAACTTTTAGCAGGTTTTTAAGTTACAAATAAGTTCTTTACGTTGAGGTGCTTTGCAGCTTGATGTTTCCTACCTTTTCCCAGTTGCGTTCTGGAAAGAAGATGGCTCATCCCATCCCTCTCCCATTTCCATGCCCAGTCAAGCTTGGACGTATAAAAGGAGACTCCCTGGAAGCTGACCTGCATGAGTATGTCAGGGAAGGGAACTATGTGAAAGTGAAGAAGCTTCTGAAAAAAGGTAAAAGCTAAGTTTAGACAAGTATTGGCAGAAAATATCTACTTTTCCCTGTATTCTTTTATTTCTGGTAAAAAATAGCATATTCCTTGAATAATCCAGCTTTCTTAGTGAAATATATTAACGAAATGATTTATAGCTGGCCTTTTCTGTTAAGTTGGAATAGTTCTTGAATCGAAAAATGTATTAAAGCAAGTTAGTACAAAAGAAAACTAATCTTTTATAAGTAAAGGGCTCATGACAAGCATTGTATACTAAAATCCTGAAAGACAGCTGTAGGAATATTCTCTTTCAATGGGGTTTTATTTCGGATAGCCGAATGCTTAGGGTACGGTTTAGACCTTAAGCATTTTGACAGCCAGATTTGTAGCGACATAGGAACAAGGAATTTTGTACATAAAAGCAAATACTTGGTGCAGTTTGGTTTCGATTTTAGAATCACAAATCTCAGTGAGTTGCGCTGATGGAGAACTGCGCCATCCCAGGGCGGGGCAGGCCCTTGGCGGCGGGCGCGCCTCTGATTGGCCAGCGAGGCCAGAACATGCAGATCAGGGGGGCGTGTCCCCACCGCCGCCACGCGCGGCCGTTCCTCGGGGCGCGGGCGCTCCCACAGGGCTCGGGGCGCGCTCTCGCGGCCGCGGGGGCTCGGCGGGGCCGCGCCGGCCGCTCCCGGGCGGGTGTTCGGGGCTCGCCGTGCGCTGAGCGCGGGTGGCGGCGTCAGGGCCGGGCGCGGCAGGAAGGGTTGGGTTAAGACTATACTTACAGGGATCATTTCTGTAGTTGGTCACTAGAGGAGAGTGATCTTCCCTGATCGGCGTCACAAGCCACGAGGAGGAGCGAGGTGTTCTCTCCTGAGCGCGAAGCGGGCGAGCGGTGCTGCCTGGGCAGGGGCCGCTCGCCATTGATGACCGTTCCCGGCCCCGTGTGTGGGGCTCGGGAGGGAGAGAACACGGGCTGAGTGGTTTGTGGCCCTTATTTTATCATGGTCAAAAAAGAGAATTAATTTGTAAAGGGGCTCTGGCTTTCTGGCTGCTGCTTCCTGCATCCTGATCCCAAATGCCACAAGCACATGTCCTCTAAATCCCTCCAGGGATGGCGACACTGCCCTGGCCGGCTGTGCCCGTGCTTGAGAACCCTTGCAGTGAATAAATATTCCCCAAATATCAAACTGAAATCTCCCCTGGTGCAACCTGAGGCCGTTTCCCCCTCAGTTTTCCGTGCAGGAGGGACCCCAGGTGCCTGCATCCTCCTTGCAGGCCGGCACAGGGAGGGTGAAAGTCCCCCCTGAGGCTCCTTTGCTCCAAGCTGACCCTCCTCCCCGTCCCCTCAGGGTTTGGCAGGGGGAGAACATGGGTTTGTGGTTTGTGGCCCTTTTTTATTGTGGTTAAAGAAAGAATTGGAGAGAGCAGATGGGGATGAACAATGCTTGTCTAGGGGCATTTCCATCTCTGGCTCTCAACCCTCAGCCAGGCTCTTGCTGCAGGGACCCGCAGTGCGTAATCACCAGGGAGGGCCCAGCAGCCACACGGATTTAGGCTTTATTGAGAGTATTCAGATCAATGGTATTCTCGGCCCATCTCTTAGTGCAGGGGAGGAGGCCTTTCTTGTTTAAAAATGCTGCCTCTGATGAACGGGGATGATCAGAGAGTGACACGGGACTAATGGGAACCTGTTCGGGATTTGCCTTTCATCACTTGTAGGAAGACCACGTCGGGCAGGCTACAAATTCAGATGGGTTTAAGGAGAAACTGCTCCGTGTTGTGCTCTTTATAGAGTCGGTCCGTGTTGCTCAGGCTGAGCCCAGAGATGTAAAGGCCGCAGTTTGTTCTTTCTGGCCCATGAATGCTCCCCTGACAGCGTCGACAGTTGCTCGGAGCCAGCACAGCGCCCCGGCGGCAACCGTGCCGCGCTGGGGCTGTCGGTACCGGGGCTGTTCTCCTCTGCGGTCCTGGGGCAGCGGCAGCACGGGCGGTGAAAGTCCCTTGTGATGTGTCGCGACAGCCGTGACAGCCCAAGCTGCGGCGGCAGCGTCACTTCTGGTGCGGAATGGGGGGGAGAGTGGGTAGGCGGGGCCGCGCCGGCGCGGGCTTAGGGAGCGCCTCTGATTGGCCAGCGGGGTCAGAACATGCAGATCAGGGAGCGTGTCCCCACCGCCGCCACGCGCGGCCGTTCCGCGGGGGCGCGGGCGCTCCCACAGGGCTCGGGGCGCGCTCCCGCGGCCGTGGGGGCTCGGCGGGGCCGCGCCGGCCGCTCCGGGGCGGGGGTTCGGGGCTCGCCGTGCGCTGAGCGCGGGTGGCGGCGGCAGGGCGGGGCGCGGCGGGCAGGGTTGGGTTAAGACTATACTTTCAGGGATCATTTCTGTAGTTGGTCACTAGAGGAGAGTGATCTTCCCTGATCGGCGTCACAAGCCACGAGGAGGAGCGAGGTGTTCTCTCCTGAGCGCGAAGCGGGCGAGCGGTGCTGCCTGGGCAGGGGCCGCTCGCCATTGATGACCGTTCCCGGCCCCGTGTGTGGGGCTCGGGAGGGAGAGAACACGGGCTGAGTGGTTTGTGGCCTGTTTTTTTATCGTGGTCAAAAAAGAGAATTAATTTGTAAAGGGGCTCTGACTCTCCTGGCTGCTGCTTCCTGAACCCTGACCCCAAGTGCCACAAGCACGTCTTATAATTCCTTCCAGTGCACACTGGAATTTATTCAGCAGGCTGAGCCACTCCAGCTCCCTCATCAGATCCGTGACCCTTCCCAATATCTGTTCCCTTCTCTGGACCCACTCCAGCTCCTTAAACGTCCTTCTGTTTGTGCTGGGGCCAAAACCGGATGCCGGATTCGAGTTGCGGCCTCACCACTGCCGAGTACAGAGGACGGTCACTGCCCTGGTCCTGCTGGTCACACAACCGCCGGTACAAGCCACGTTCCACTGGCCTGCTTCGCCACCTGGGCACGCTGCCCGCTCTTGTGCACCCACTCTTGTGCGGCATGCCAAGGTGCTTTTCCTCCATGCAGCTTTCGAGCGACTTTTCCCGAATCCCGGCCCGCTGCCGATTCCGCCTCCTGTGACGCTTCCTGGGCCCAGCGCGGCGGCGGCGGCGTCCCCGGTCCGGAAAGCGGGGCAGGGGCGGAGCCGGGCGGGCGCGCCTCTGATTGGCCAGCGGGGTCAGAACATGCAGATCAGGGGGGCGTGTCCCCACCGCCGCCACGCGCGGCCGTTCCTCGGGGCGCGGGCGCTCCCACAGGGCTCGGGGCGCGCTCCCGCGGCTGCGGGGGCTCGGCGGGGCCGCGCCGGCCGCTCCCGGGCGGGGGTTCGGGGCTCGCCGTGCGCTGAGCGCGGGTGGCGGCGGCAGGGCCGGGCGCGGCGGGCAAGGTTGGGTTAAGACTATACTTTCAGGGATCATTTCTGTAGTTGGTCACTAGAGGAGAGTGATCTTCCCTGATCGGCGTCACAAGCCACGAGGAGGAGCGAGGTGTTCTCTCCTGAGCGCGAAGCGGGCGAGCGGTGCTGCCTGGGCAGGGGCCGCTCGCCATTGATGACCGTTCCCGGCCCCGTGTGTGGGGCTCGGGAGGGAGAGAACACGGGCTGAGTGGTTTGTGGCCTTTTTTGTTGTGGTCAAAAAAACAGATATAATGTGTTGAGGAGCTCTAGCTCATCCGCCTGCTGCCACCTGAATCCCAACTCCAAATGCCACAAACATATGTTTTACAAGTCCCTCCAGAGATGGCGACACAGCCTCTGCCCTGGCCAGTTGTGCCCGTGCCTGAGAACCCTTGCAGTGAATAAATTATCCCCAATATCAAACCGAAACCTGCTGTAGTGTGCCCTGAAGCCGTTTCCTCTCACCCTGTCTCTTGTTCCGTGCAGAAGGGACAGACCTGAGCTGCCAACATCCTCCTTGCAGGCCGGGGCAGGGAGGGTGACTGTCCCCTTTGAGGCTCCTTTTCTCCAGGCTGAGCCCCCTCTGTCCCCTCAGGCCTCAGCAGGGAGAGAACACGGCTGAGTGGTTTGTGGCCCTTTTTTATTGTGGTTAAAAAAATACTAGGAGAGAGCAGAGAGGGATGAACAAACCTCCCCCAGGGGAATTTCCGTCTCTTGTACACCACCCGCAGCCAGGCTCTCGCTGCAGGGACCCGCAGTGCGCGATCCCCAGGGAGGGCCCAGCAGCCAAACGGGATTTAGTCTGAGAGTATTCAGACCAGTGGCATTCTCGACCCATCTCTTAGTGCCGGGCAAGGACACTTTCTTGTTCAAAAGTGCTGCCCCTGATGAACGGTGATGATCAGAGAGTGACACGGGACTAAGGGGAACCTGTTCGGGATTTGCCGCTCATCAGTTTTGGATCAGGTCAGGCTACAAATTCAGATGGGGTTAGGGAGAAA